CCCGGCTGGGTGGGCTGTGTCCGTGGGCTGTGTCCGTGGGCTGTGTCCGTGGGTTGGGGCACGTTGGTTGGGATCTCTGGGTTCCTCCGTGTTCCCGTTTGTACTAAGAAACACAAGCAAACAAACCCAGCCCGAGCCGGGGAAGGAAATACCGGTGCTTTGCTGGAGATGCCCGGTTGGTTTCTAAACCTTTTGGGAGGGGGAAGCTGGGCTGTGCTGGGCTGGATTTTTAGGCACGTGTAAGAATTGTTGAGCCTGCTTTCATGTGTGGCCCCCACCGCTGCTCGTGGTGCAAATAATAAGGGGATCACTGCTGGTTTTTCCCTTTGCAGAGGGTAGGGACAGTCACCTTGCACAGGTGCAGTGCCTGTTGTTCTGTGGCAGCACAAACGTTGAGCTTGGCTGTGCAGTTGGCAGGAAGGCCTCATTTCTGTTTCCAGGCACTGCAGAAGCATCTTTTTCCATGAACAGCTGTGGAAAACGTTTCAAAAGATTTAAAAGGTCGTTCCTGTTTCTTCTACCAGGCTTGTCCAGGTGCTCAAACCCTTTTGACACGTCAGAATTCTTCTTGCCTTAACTGCCCTGACTCTGGATACAAATGGACCTCAGCTGTCAGGGCTGGTAGTGGAAACACGTGGTCAGAGCAGTTACTCACATCCTTGTTTCATTCCTCCATGTCCCTGAGGTCCATTATACCATCAGGGTTTTGTTTACCCAGCCTTTTAAGTCTCCCTGCAACAGGCTGAGCAGGAAGGTCGGGTATGGCAACTCTGACTCCTCACCAGGTGCAGTCCTTGAGGTGTTCCCCAGCCCTGGGTGTGAACCCAGTGAGCTGGTCAGCAGGTACCAGAAGGACCAGTGGAGCTTTGGCTGCTGCACAACTGGAAACTTGTGTATCCCAGAGTGCGACTCAACGCCTTTTGATGCACTTTTCTGAAGGCTCAGGAATAGTGAGGCAGGGGTTTGATGGAGGTGGACTATCAATATGAATCAGATGTAGATATTGGAGTATTTTGGGGGGGTTTTAGTAACAAGAGCAGTGTCCTCAGCAGATGTTTATGCACTGCAGGTACGTTCTGGCTGCATGTCTTTTGCTGGTTTGAGATCTTCTGTGTTGCACAGGGAGTGAGGGAAAGGAGTATGAAGGAAATACAGCTGAAAAACAAGATTTATAGACATAGCTTCTCACCCTTTCCCATCAAAATGGTTTGGAGCTTCTTGATGCCAGCAAAGATGAAGTGTGCAGTGATGAGAGCTGGGTGGTTTTTACTCCTCAAACTGCAGGGGAAGGAGCAGCCAGTGCCCTGCGCAGGGGAGGTGCGGGTGCCATGTGGGGGGGTTACTAGTGAGAAGCTGCACTGGGTTGTGCCAGCACTGCTGAAGGCTGGACCTGCTGATGAGGTTTGTCTTTCTGGGCCAGGATGCTGTTCCCCCTGCCCCTGCGGGTCGCCTGCAGCCTGCTGGTCTGGCTCTCTCTCTACGCTTGGTTCTGCCGTCGCTACAGGCACCGGAATTACGAGTGGAGCTGCAGGCTGGTCACACTGACCCATGGCATCCTTGCTACCTGTCTCTCTGCTTACATTGGCTTTATTGATGGCCCCTGGCCTCTGAGTCACCCAGGTAAGTAATGAAAGTTAACATTCTGTGATTCAAGGTGTCGTCCCAAGTCGGGTGATGGCACAAAGTGAGGTTCCTACCACCTCAGTGTCCAGCCCACTTGGGAAATGATGATGGTAACAATAGCTGAGCTGCTTTGTGATGGAAAGTACTAGAGAAATGGAGAGACTGGTACTGTGTTTTGCTGGTGTAATGGCTCTGCCCAGCTGCAGTCTGGCAGAGTGTTGTGGTCACGTTGTGTGGCCATGACGTGTGTGCAGCTGTCAGACTGACAACAGCAGCACTGTGACTTGCCTGACTTCTCCAGCTGAGCTGTGATCAGCATACACTAAAATCAGCCTGCCTGTGCTGAAGGTGAACGCCCTTTCCTTGTCTAGGATCCTGCCTGCTTATTGTCTCCATGCTTTAAAGCTGTGTCTGGTGTCTCTGTGTTTCAGGATCACCAAACACAACTCTTCAGGTACACGGGCTGTGCCTTAGCTTGGGCTACTTCCTCTTCGACCTCTGCTGGTGTGTGTACTTCCAGGCAGAGGGTGCCCTGATGCTGGCCCACCACCTGGTGAGCATCGTGGGCATCACAGCCTCGCTGGCCCTGGGGGAGTCAGCTGCAGAGGTCAATGCTGTCATCTTTGGGAGTGAGATCACCAACCCGCTGCTGCAGGCCCGCTGGTTTCTGAAGGAGATGGGCTGTTACCACAGCTTCACGGGCGACCTGGTGGATTTCTTCTTTGTGGTCCTCTTCACCGGGGTGAGGATTGGAGTGGGGGCCTGGCTGATGTACTGTGAGCTTGCTTCTCCCAAGCCCAGGTGGTACATTAAGCTGGGGGGTGTCATCATGTACGCAGTGTCCTGGGTCTTCATGGTCAGCATCTGTCGCTTCGCCCGGAGGAAGAGCATGAAGAAGTACCATGCTTGGAGGAGTCGAAGGAGTGAGGAGTTATTCTTGAAAACTAATGGACACCTGAAAAGCCACTGACTGGATGCTGAGTAAAGACTTCCTCGAGATCACTGGCTGGCAAGGAGGGGATGGTGCCTGAAATGCCACTGTCAGGAGAGGAGCCAATGCACGTTAGCGATTCTGGAGCCAAATTTATCCCTGGCATAAATCCATGGAAACCCATGGAGCTATGCCATGGATTCATTGGACCTGCAGTGTTTGGCCTGGCAGAGGCTGGCTCAGCGTGTACGTCAGGATATGTTAAATGATAGGAGTGAAAGAAGGGCTAATTTTACAGACTAAACAGAACTAGTCCAGCAGTGCAGGTGTAAATAGTAATGTTCATAGCTAACTAACTCAGCACTGGTAGGATCTTGGCAGAAAAGATAACACTAGATCTTCATGTTCAGTGTCCTGTACAGTCTTGACAGCTAGAGTGACTCTTCACACTGTTAGGGAGAAGCATATTCTAGTGATTCATCAGAGTTGGGATTCCTGGCTCTTCCACCAACTTGTTACGTGACCTTGGGCAAGTCACGTCGCTCTAACTCTGTGCCTAAAATCCCCATCTGTGAACTGGGGAGATGGAGCTGAGCCATCTGTGTTATGCACTTTCAGATCTTTACTTGAGAGGTGCTATCTGACTGCAGAGTGGTGGTTTTTACCTGCACTTTGTTCATTATCCCTGCATCTCCTTTGGGACAAACGATTTTGGTGGTTGAGCTAGAGCTCAAGCTCTAGGAAGGACATTCTTTTAGGTAGGTCGTTGTTTTGCACCCTTTCTAATTCCTTCTAATAACTTATTTAATAAGGTATTGATAACTTATTTTTCAGTAGTGTCCAGAAGCTGTAATCAGCACTGGCACCTTGCAGGACTAGGTGCTCTGTGAAGATACCCAAAGACACAGCCCCCAGTGTGAAACAATTCTGATTTTTTGCCCCTCTTTTTAATCCCTTGCTGTTAAATCCCCACCCAGCCCCTCCAGCTACTGCTTTTAGCTCCCCCTTGAGCCACCAACACTCTCCATTGTGAGAAGCCCCATCAAGACTCTCCAGTAAGTGGTTTTCTGGCTGGTAGACCCTGTTTGCTTTTTTTTTTTTTTCTGCAGAATGCCAAAATTCCCTCTGCTGTGCTTCTTGGCCCAAACACAGACAGAGTGTGGAGCCAGCCTGAGACCAAACAGCATGTCTTGAGATTGTCAAGTACTTTATCCAAGCTGTAAGTAACTTGTAAAAATAAGAGCAGCAAATGCAGAGGGTGTTTTACTGCAGCAATCTGCAAACTCTCTGGACTTGCTGGTTTTGGCAATCTGAAGGGAGCAGGGACCAGAACCTGATTTGTAGGGAAGACTCTGTGTTTCTGCTGCCCTTAAAGGTGTCATCCCTGGTTCAGCTCAGTGCATCTGAACCCAGAGTCTGCCACAGTATCTGGGGTAGTGGGGCACTGCAGGGGAAACTGGGAATATGATGGAAAAGCTGGAAAAAAGATGTTTGAAAGCCACTTGAAATTGGCATTGATGTTTTTCCCCAGGAACCTAAATACCACTTTTGACAGGAGGGTTTCCTCAGATGCACACTGGGATTTCTGGTTGAAGAGTGGGCAGTGTGCATCTTCAAAACATGGTGGCTGAGGTTGGAAGAGTTACCTGTTCAAGCCAGAGGCCTGACCTTGGCTTTCCTTCATCCAAATTGATGCTTTGACCCCTGGGCTTTGAATTTCTTTTAGGTAGGTCGTTCTTTTGTTCCTCTTCTAATTCCTTCTAATAACTTATTTAATAAGGTATTGATAACTTATTTTTCAGTAGTGTCCAGAAGCTGTAATCAGCACTGGCACCTTGCAGGACTAGGTGCTCTGTGAAGATACCCAAAGACACAGCCCCCAGTGTGAAACAATTCTGATTTTTTGCCCCTCTTTTTAATCCCTTGCTGTTAAATCCCCACCCAGCCCCTCCAGCTACTGCTTTTAGCTCCCCCTTGAGCCACCAACACTCTCCATTGTGAGAAGCCCCATCAAGACTCTCCAGTAAGTGGTTTTCTGGCTGGTAGACCCTGTTTGCTTTTTTTTTTTTTTCTGCAGAATGCCAAAATTCCCTCTGCTGTGCTTCTTGGCCCAAACACAGACAGAGTGTGGAGCCAGCCTGAGACCAAACAGCATGTCTTGAGATTGTCAAGTACTTTATCCAAGCTGTAAGTAACTTGTAAAAATAAGAGCAGCAAATGCAGAGGGTGTTTTACTGCAGCAATCTGCAAACTCTCTGGACTTGCTGGTTTTGGCAATCTGAAGGGAGCAGGGACCAGAACCTGATTTGTAGGGAAGACTCTGTGTTTCTGCTGCCCTTAAAGGTGTCATCCCTGGTTCAGCTCAGTGCATCTGAACCCAGAGTCTGCCACAGTATCTGGGGTAGTGGGGCACTGCAGGGGAAACTGGGAATATGATGGAAAAGCTGGAAAAAAGATGTTTGAAAGCCACTTGAAATTGGCATTGATGTTTTTCCCCAGGAACCTAAATACCACTTTTGACAGGAGGGTTTCCTCAGATGCACACTGGGATTTCTGGTTGAAGAGTGGGCAGTGTGCATCTTCAAAACATGGTGGCTGAGGTTGGAAGAGTTACCTGTTCAAGCCAGAGGCCTGACCTTGGCTTTCCTTCATCCAAATTGATGCTTTGACCCCTGGGCTTTGAATTCACTTCTGTCTCCCTGATTGGATCTGGTTCACTTTATGAAGATGAGCATTTATAGGGTAAGAGAGACTTATCTTACAGCCTGTATAATTAATGAAGTGAGAGGCACAGAATCTGGACTTTCTAAAGAAAGAAAGAAAAAAAAAAGCAACCAAAAAACAAGAGCAAACCTAATTGGGAGAAAAACTAAGTGTTACATATTTGGTTCCATTTGCAGAGGAAAAAAAAGTGTCCCCTAGTTGGCAGCTTCTGGTGTTTATTTCACTGCATGTTCTTAGCACTGTTCCATTGGTCTTGCTGTCATTATTATGATCATTTTGAGCCCCAGCACCACCAGTGCAGCTCAGGTGCCAGTTCTGCTGTCAGCCTTGCCTGTTGCAGCCAAAGACCTGCAGAGCCCAAAGCACTTCAGATTAGCAGAGCCCACTGGTGGCTGAGCTGGTTCTGAAAAGGAAACTTGACTCATTTAACACAGCACAGTGAGAGATTCTTGAGCCTTGAAGGGCCACAAGAAGGGCTACTTGGGGCTTACTGGTTCTTCCCCAGCTCTGCTGCTGCTGCCAGGCATGTCAAGGACCCTTTTTTGCCTCAGCTTACCCACTTTATTTAGTGGGTGCAGTATTACCTACCTCGTGGGGTGTTGTCATTTAACACCAAGCCATCTTGGAATGCTTTGTGGGCTGGGTCAGGCTGTGCTGGATGAAGACAAAATGCTGTTGCTATGAGTGAAGCACTTGTCACCATCATCAGTGCTTTGTCACTGGAACGTGGCACTTCCCAGCATCTGGCTTGCTTCCCAAAAGCAGGAGTCCAGGGTGTTTTGCAGTGGTGCTGGTGGGTGGGAGTCAAAAGGAGTAAGCCAGACAAGATCAGCCATCCTGCTGCTTCTTCAGGTAGATTCCCAGGTTGAAGAAAGGATGTCTGGTGGGTTTTCCCTAAGGATTATAGTAAACCTGGAGCCAAAAGAGTTTCAGCAGCCAGCCTCACCAGGGAATAAGGGCTTTCAGCAGCAAGTCCTGAAGAAATGTAAGTGAAGACAGCCTGTTAATTTCCCAGTGCAGCTGTTGACTTGCCCATTAAGGGAAGTTTCCTGAGCAGTACTGGTGAATTGGACTCTGTGGTTTGGTGTGCAGCTGGGTGCATCGTTACAGCCCTGGCCTGCCAAGGGTGTCAGTGACTGCAGGTTTCTGTGGAACCCCTCATGTGAAGGTGTTTTGGAAGTTAAGGCACTTCTAATGGCTGAGTGGTCCTCATCTTTGAACTGAGGGGAAACTTGATTGGACGAAGTAGAGCACTGTGATCAATATTGAGACTTTAGAAGTTCAATAAGAGCACCAGAAAACAAAAGAGCAATTAGGAACAGCTTAATGAGGTAGAGCTAGCATCCGTGTCTCAGAGCAAGGCCTACTCCATCTAGTGAGGTCCAGTTTAGGATCTCAGACCCAGAAGAAGTGCAGCTTTCAATGGAGCACATGGTGGGACCTGTCCTCAGGCTAGTCCATAGTGGCTAGAGAAACTGTAACAGGGAACTGCAGAACTAGTGTGAAATAATAACTTGTGTTTGAATTACTGTGTAATAGCAACTAATGTTCCACCAGTGAATGGTGTAGATGCTTTATATGATGTTTTATAAAATAAAGATTATTTAATTATATGAGGAATTTGTTTTCTCTCTTTGGATGCAGTTCTTAAGTTTGTGTGTTGCTGGATGAGCCAGAATGGCCAGTGTAAATGAACAAAGTGGGTGCTTTTTAGGGACTGAGCTTGTACAGTTCTCACCAGTATTGCTGCTCAGACATGTGAACAGGCACAGAAACCACTCTTCTTTGCAAAGATGTCATGAGGAGTACTTAGTAGTTTGGTGGTTGCTCATAGGTGCTTTCAGGTTGCTGACTGGCTGAACAGGGTGTGTTTATTCCATAGGTTTGTTCCCAGGCCTTTCCTTCACCTGCTCTTAGGCAGGTCTTGGAGAAAAAAATGCTTCCTTTGTTTTCTTCCAGTGCTTGAAGGGGCTTCGTGAGAGCTGGGGAGGGACTTGGGACAAGGGCTTAGAGTGAGAGGATAACAGGGAATGGAGTAAAACTGGAAGAGGGAGATTGAGGTGAGACATGAGGAGGAAATGAATGTGAGGGTGGTGAGAGCCTGGCCCAGGTTGCCCAGGGAAGCTGTGGCTGCCCCATCCCTGGCAGTGTTGAAGGGCAGGTTGGATGGGGCTTGGAGCAGCCTGGGCTGGTGGGAGGTGTCCCTGCCCATGCAGGTGGGTGGATCTACATGCTCTTTGAGTTCCCTTCCAACTCAAACCATTCTATGCCTTATATGCTAAAGGAAAAGGTTCTCCTGTGTTTCCACACTGTGG